TCAAAATGCATGCAGAATTCAACAAATTCTTCCGAGCTCCATTATGAAGTCGACTTTGCTCTGAATCAGCATATTGTTTTGTCTAGCCACTTCATAGCCTCCTTTTCTCCCCTCACTCATGCACCAGCCATCTATTACTTTTCAAACCTAAAACATTTCACTCTTCAGTCCAATTTTGCCAGAAAGTCCTCATTTCTCTCAGAGTAGAAGTCAAAAAGACAAGAAACAACAAGGGTTAGTGAAAATGTAGAGACAAGGAAAATGTCGGTGCAGCTACTATGGAAAACAGAACAGAGATTCCTTAACAAACTAAAAATACAACTACCATAAAATCCAGCAATCTCACTTCTGAGTATTTATCCCACAAAAACCAAAACACTAACTCAAGAAAAAGGATGTACCCATGTGTTTATTGTAGCCCTATTTACAATAGCCAAGATATAGAAGCAAACTAAGTCAGTCTACAAATGAGTGAATAAAGAAGATGTGGTATATACGGTTGACCCTTGAACAATGTGGGGGTTGGAACAGCAAACCATGCCCCACCCACAGTCAAAGATTCAAGTATAACTTTACAATCAGCCTCCATAAACACGATTCTACATTTGCAGATTTAACCAACCACGGATCAGTAGTGCTGCAGAACACATTTATTAAAAAAGACCCACATGTAAATGGACCTGCACAGTTCAAACCTGTGTTGTTCAAGGGTCAACTGCATATACAATGGAATATTACTTAGCCATAAAAAAGAATGAAATCTTGCCACTTTCAGCAACATGGATGGACCTGGAGGGTATTACGCTTAGAGAAATAAGTCAGACCAAGAAAAACATGTACCTTATGATTTTATGTATGTGGAATCTGAAAAACAAATGAAACAAAACAAACAGACTCATAGATACAGAGAACCAACAGGTGGTTGCCAGACGGGAAGGGGGGTTGGGGGACTGACAAAGTAAGTGAAGGTGATTAAGAGGTACAAACTTCCAGCTATAAAGTAAGCCAGGGGGAAACAGTGCACACACAGAGAATATACTCAATAGTACTGTGATGATCTTGTATGGTGGCACAGTCATTGGTCTTACTGAAGTGATCATTTCACAATGCAAAAAATAGCGAATCACTACATTACACATCTGAAACTAATATTGTATGTTAATTACAACTCAAAACATTAAATTAAAATGTTAAAAAACTCAAGTAGTCCTCAGGGCTATCAATGAACTGGCATAATCGCTTTTACACCCTCACGAGCTGTGAGGCTACTGGCTCATGCTGCTTGGGTCTCTGTGTTTCTTGTGACGTGTCAAGCACACACTCACTTCAGGGCCTTTGCTCCAGCTGTTTCTCTCCCTGGGATGCTCTTCTCCCAGATTATTTGCTTGGCTAAGTGCCTCACTCCTCCTAGTTTTGTTTGCTTGCTTGTTTGTCTTTGTGGCCATGGGAAAAGCTCTGCCCCAGGCAACAAGCAATCCTGCCCTATTTATCATTCTCTCCAGGTTGGCAAACAGTCTCTGCTTGTCCTGGATGAACAACGAGTTATCCAGGCTAAGCTGCCAGTTATATTGTCTTCCTCTCCTGTTTGTCACGGTGAAGACAGAGTTCTGATGGCAACCATAGTAACAGCCTCCATTTATTGGGTACCTGCAGCCTGTGGAACAGGTGCTTTGCATATATTATTCCTGGTCCTAAGAGCATCCTGATATGGTAAATTTCAGTTTATTTTATTAAAAATTTTTTCATTATTTAAATTATTTATTATTTTTTTTAAGAGAGCTATAGGAAGAGAAAGACACACAGAGAATATCAGAAGTTAATATGACATAATATGAATAGGGGCTACCCCTTAGTTAATGAGGTTTTAAGTGATTTTTTTTTCCTTTTATCTTTTTTTGGTATTTCTTTTTTCTTTCTTTTCTTTTTTTCTTTTTAGTATTTTCCAGCTATTATGTACTCCCAAATTATTTTTATAGTTAGAAAAAATGGATTTAACATCTTAGAATCACTAACTGTTTAAACCAGGGTAGAAAGTCCAAACATGAGGAAAACAACATTCTAAATTCCAGCTGTTTCAATTATATTGATTAAAAACAGGTTCCCGCATACCTGCTACCACAGGACCTCTACAGTTTCCCCTAGGTTTTCATCAAAACTTCTGTGCATTTGCCCAAATATCCAAATACTTATGATCTGTGTGACATTCAGAGATGGTCATCACAAGGATTTGCTGGGGAAGGGAGGTGCCAAGGGCAGGTCAGGAAGAGTCAGACTCCAGCCCAGGGTTTGTCACTGACTTCTTGGGCAAATCACTTAAACCCTTCAGGCCCCTCTTGTGTCATTTCAGAGAGTTAGACAAGGTCATTTCTAAGCTCCCTTCTGGCTCACGTCCATGAACTTCCACTTTCTCTACCCTATCCACGCTGTCCTGGGAGGTCACCAATGAGTAAATTGCATTTGGAATGTGTTAAACCTCAGCTGTTCTTCAGTAAAAGAATGACCATCCATCCAGTAACTAAAGGACAAGGGAGAGACCAGCCATAAAGACTTGGACCATTTCATCCCAAAAGCCTCATCCCCTGGCTTCTGGCTCTAAACAACACAACCTGCTTAGAGTTCTGCTCTCCCCACAATTTATTATTATTTTAAATTTATTTCTTATTATTTATGACTTATTAAATTATGTATGTAACCTAAAAAACAAAAACAAAACATTTCACGGATTTCTCCTATTCGCCCCGCTACTTCCAGCTTCTGGCAACCACCCATCTATTCTCCCTATCCATAGGCTGGTGGTGTTTGTTTTTGTTTTTTGATACAACATGTAAGAGCGATCATATAGTATATGTTTTCTTTTGTGTGGCTGAGTAATATTCAAATACATATCACAATTTCTTTATCCATGCATCTAATACTTGACATTCAGGTTGTTTCTCTATCTTGGCTATTGTAAATGCTGCTGTAATGAACATGCAGGTGAAGGAGAATTAATAAAATGGCCACATTTAGGCTAAAAGATTGTTTATTCTTATGCTTGTGCTTAAAATGGTCAACTGACCTGGCTGACCAGTTGCTACTCACAGCTCCAGACCCGCTGTTAAAATAAAGCTATTAATTTTACTCTTTCTGCTTTATTCCAGTAATATGAAGTAATAATCATACTTTCTGAGTTGTTCTCCAGGGAGAAGGTCACGGAACTGAAACCTTACAAAACAGGCTACATACCAAGAAGACCACACCTTGGGCACTTACTTACCCGACAAAGAGACTGAAAAAGTGACAACCGCCAGCCTCTACAGAATTGGCCACCTGGAGGCGTCATGACATCACTCTGCGTGATGATTCTGCTGATTGCTGTCGATGTCTTATTGTTGGAGCTATGGCTACTTAATCACCCTACATCATCTTCAAGGTGGGGTCACAGTGCTGAAGGCACTAGGCTGCTGAGTCCCCTTTGCCTGGCAAAGCAATGAAGCTGTCTCTTTGCTTCTAAGCTCCAAGACCCTGTCTCTGAGTTTTAATTTGGCTCATCAGGGACTGGGGGGGGGGGCGGCGCGATCTTTCAGCAACACAGCTGCAGGTATCTTTTTGAGCTAGAGTATTTTTTTTCTTTGGATAAACACCGAGAAGGGAGTCAATGAATCCGGTGGTAGTCTAATTTTCATTTCTGAGGCACTTCTGTAGTGTTCTCTGTAGTGGCTGCACCCATTTTCACGCCCACCAACAGGGCCCCAGTGCTCCCTTTTCTCCACACCCTCGCCAACACCCGTCTTGCTCTTTGCGGAGATCTCATTTCCTCTGTGAGGCTTACCTTCACCTGTCTTACACTCTAACTTGACCTCCAACCTCTCCCATGCCTCTGGCACCATCACATCCCTTTTCTGTGCTCCGTATTTTTTTTCCCAGAGTACAGTCGTAGTTTATTATCACATTCCTGTTTTCATAATATACACTCAAGAAGAGTAGACATCTTTAACCTGTTTTACTATCGGCTGCATTTCCACTACCCGGAACTGAACCCGGCATATGGTAAGACCTCAATAAATATATTTGAATACATTTTCAAATATTTACCTATTGGCCTTTTCATTAGTAATCTATTGAGCAACTGAATTTTCTAAATGAGAATATTTACTGAAATAAACACACCAAGACTCGACCATACCCATGTTTAACAGTTGATATTGTCTTTCACTGCTGGCAGAAATTCTCAATTTCCATAACACAGTAAAAAGAAAAAAAATCTTAGATTTGTAAATGAATAGCCCATTACCTTAGATATTAAAAGAGGACATAAGTTAAAATTAAAAAAAAAACTGTTCTATATTTTAAGAGGTTTTTCTGTTGTTTCGTTACAGGAGGTACAAAATAGTTTAAGAAAAACAAACAAAATTACATCTTACAACTCATAGACACAGCAAGAAATCAGCAGAGAAGGCTGGAGCTGATAAATTAATGCAATCTTGGGCGTGACTTTTGACAGTTAATAATCTTTAATTAATTTAGTCATTGTTTGCCCTTCAAGATAAAAATGGATATCTATTCATTCTTAGGCCATTATTTTATTTAACACAATGAACTTAAGTTGAAAACTCTTTTGAGCAGCGAACTTTATTACAATTAGACTCACTTTAAATTAATAACATCTCACACAAGGAGACTTGCAGATATGCAGAGGCCCCGAGCAATGAAAAATGATGGCCTCATTATTCCCACAATCTTACATTTAGTTCAAAATAGAAACCTATTAAATTTGAATTAAGCATAAGGAATTCGAAGTATTTATTTTCAACATGTTGACTACTTTAATGTTTTTAAGTTATTAAAAAAAAAAAGTTAACTTCACATACGACAAGATTTTAGCACTGAACTGAAGACGTTACCTCGGAAAACTTGTAACCCAAACCTGGGATTTCAGTCTTATTTGTCTGCTCTTAAACAGCCGGCTACTCAGATGATGACGGTTTTACACACATTTCTCTACAGGTTATTGACTTTTTGGGGAGAAACACACAAGGCTCTTCCATTCCCATCTCTTTTGGGCTCACCCAGCCTCTCTTCCTCCTCAGACTGAGGTCAGATAAGACTTGCTCACACCAGCCTGCTCAATGCATTAGCTCATCTACCTATTTTCACTCTGCGCACCAACTCCCCTACTTTGGGGAGCACAGTGCTTTTACCGAGGAAAAGAAAGGTTCTCCCAAACCAAAGATACCAAACAGGCTACTAACCTTGAGCAAATTTCCGTTCAGCAGCGAGCCTCCTCCCTCCTCCGTGGCCAGCACCCTTCTTCTGAGGCTGGGGAAAGCGCTCTTACTATCACGGCTTCTCGCGATTCTTCACTGATAGCACCGGGAGAGTCTAGCCCCCCAGCTCCCTGAGGGACGCCGTGCGCCTCAGGTGTGTCCACTAACTTCATGAGCCATGCCACGACGGAAAGTCTCTTTTTTTCAAGCTGCGGTGGGGGGAGCCAAACTGAAGTCTGATGGGGAGAGGAAAGAAAGAGACAAAAGCCTTGTTGTCAATGGTTCCACCGTCCTGTTGATCAGCAACAGAAGAAGGAACGTCAAAAACTACAGCTCGTCTTTCACCCCGTGGTTGAAATGGACACTAGGGGACCGCTTAGCTTCATTTTCCAGAGGATGTTCCAGAGGACTTTAGGAAAAGGTATAATACACATTCTTACTTAAAGAATTTTTCAAATATAATCTCTGAATTAACTTCAAAGCAACTAAATCCTGGTACAGACAAGAGGCGCCAGGCACCAGCAGTGGAGTGGCTCTTTGAAGACCTCCAGCTGAATCTCATGTGTTGTATCCACCTCTTTTCCACTTGAGGGAAATGGAAAAGGGGACAAACATATTTTTTTTTTTTACCAGCATTAGATATAAAAAGAGGAGGTCTAAGAGATTCATTAGGGTAATAAACTATTGTTTCATGGTTGCCAAAACGTACTCAAATGCCAAAGGATTCCATGAAAGGGGAGGGATGGGGGTGAGATTCACACATTTTCCTATTTTACCTCCATTACTCTGATCCCAGCCTGTCTTCTCTCCTCCTCCCTTTAAATAAAAATCCAGAATCCCTAGGAAGCATTTTAAAAATTGCTTTGTGGATTTTACCTTATTAGAGAACAAATAAACCTTTCCAATCCCTGTGATACATCAACAAAAAGATTTATTGTTTCTTTGCACGTGTTTTCAGATCCTGTCACTAAAATTATAAAGGCTGATGCAAACAAGATGGCAAAAGAGTGGTTTTGTTGTTCGTCGGCCATGCACAATCCATTGATTAAGCTCCTTTCCGTGATAAAGTTATTTTATGTCAAAACATTACCTTCAGTGCAGCTGAAATTGAAGTATTTTCCTCACCTCCAAAATAATTGAATCAAATGGGAGAAGAATGCATGTGTATTTGTCCTTTAATTAAACACACAATCAGAAAGACAACTGCAGACTATCACCTATGAATTAAAATGCTAATTCGTTCAAAAGAAGAATATATTTGATGTCCCGCTTTGAAATAGAAGAAACACACAACAAAGAAAGGAAGAGAAAAAATGCCACAGGAAGTCAAACACACATTTGCAAAGCTAATTGAGCAAATTCGCCACCATTTGACATTTTGCTAAAAGAAAAGGAGCCTTGCAGCTGGGTAAAAGAACAATGCAAACAAAGACAGAAAAATACACAGTCGAAATTGATCTGTGGAACCCCAGAGCACTAAGATAGCCTTGTACAGAGTGTGAAATTGAACTGTGAGCCACAGAGAAAATTTTTGTCGTTGACACTTCCCAAGATCAGAGGGAAATGTAGGTGATCTTCCCCTCTTATTTTCCTCTCTAAGAAACTAACCGAGTTGAAGGACGACAAAGAGTCTTAAATCCCCAAACCCTCATTAGGGTTAACAAATGAAACCCACAAATGAGGATTAAGAAGATTTCCCACCAGGTACACCGTAAAGCAGAGTTAGGAATGGGGAGTCAGGGGAAAGTCCAAGAGCGAGCTCGGGAGTAATTACCTTTCCAGCCCATAATGATGCACTCCACTAATTCGCAGGACTTGGCTTATTTCTGAATCTAAAACTTTGGCCAAATTTTCGCTTTTGAAGGAAAAAAAGAGAAAAATCAAATTCCTATTTTGTGTTTCCTAATAAGAACTGAGCCCCTACATCATGTCTCCCCAGCCCGCCTTCCCCTCAACCCATTACTGAAATGAAAATGCTGTGATTTACATCCCGGTTCATACTGGCATGGAGCACATATTGAGTTAGGAGTGCCAGGATCCACATGGAAAATAAAGAACTTCTTATAAGCTCTGCACAGGATGCCAAACAACTGCCAAGTGAGAGGGCCAATCACAGTTCCCCTTTGCAAACATCCCCTTGGACCTCATCAAATTCCCCCCAAAATACTGAATTCCTAACTGATAGGAACCTGGCTTCAGGTGATACTGTTAACCTCCTAAGGTACTTCTAAGGCCTTTTCAATTTAGCCTGTATGTCCTGCAGCTTCTTTTCTGTACCATTGGAAAAAATAATGGCTCTTTCCTTTCAAAAGGTGGCCTTGGGCACGGGCAGATGCCTGGTGTGCTTATCAAGTTACCTATCTGCTTGGATACTGGCTGCTTCTTTAATTGCAGTGGGGTTGTGGGTAGAAAGGTCACAGCAGGATTCCTCTCTTTTATTGGCCTGATGAGTACTTTGGGGTCTGTCTTAATAAAGTCCTGTAGGAATATTTTCACCGCTGTTCAGAGGAAATGGAGATATCTTGTTAAATCAGTTTCACTCCGCAGTGAGGATTTATGGGGAGGCCACAGAGCTAGAGATGCTCGCTTGGGAAGAGTTGTTCCTGGATTCCACTTCTCCTTACACAGAGCCCAGGTGGCCTGTGAGCTTTCCCTCTTCATCAGCTCTTTCTGGGGAGGTTCCCCGCAGCCTCCCGGCAGGGGGCGAAGCAATGAAGGCACCGCCTCCCGTGGATCTCGTTTCCTGTATCAGCGCAGCATCTTCCGTTCTGAACATGCCCATGTCAGAGCACATTAAATTCAGAGAGGTACGGTGACTTCAGTCAGGATGCAGTAGGGAGGCGGCGTGCAGAAAACAATATCAAAAGAGCACAAGGGGACCCATAAAAGAACTATATTAACTCAACAACCAGCTGTGTGGATAGGAGTCATGTTCACAGAGTCGGCAGGATTCAGCCACCAAGGCTTGATTGATATTAAAATAACAGCTATACATATGTAAGATTCTAGAACAAGGGATCCCTCCCCAGTTCCTGAGATCGCCTCAGTTTTCTTTCCTAACACCTACTCTGCCTTTTTCCTCCTAGAGTGTGTTGGTTAGAGCCGGAATAAGGAGTTCTGTAGGGAACCCCGTTCTTTGTTGAGCCGCAGACTTCTTAGGCAGCAAATCCCACTAGCCAAAAGGCAGTGATTTCATGATTTATTAGCATTCAAACAAACTCTGTATAGATTCTCTCTTTCCCAGTTTCATCCTTAATATTCTATGCCAACCCCAGTCTTGTACATGTCTGGGTTTCAGCCTGAATACAGATCCATATGTGAAGCTCCCAGATCCTGCAGGCTCACTCTAAAGGTACTTTTTATTTGTACATGGTCAGCTCTGTATTTCACCCAGCAAAACCGATAAATTATTAAGCAAATATAGCATTAAAAAGGGAAATAGCAGGAACTCAAGAATAACATAAAAGAGAAGAAAAAAAAACAACTTCCTTACATATTATGAAATAAAAACACTCACCAAAATCATTTTGATTCAGGAAAAAGCTATACTGAACACCAACTTGGTGCCCGACGGCATGCTGAACACTAAGTTGCATTCCTGATTTATAAATTACAATTTCATCAACTGTTTCCATTCAAATAAGAACTCTACACGTTGAAAACTTAATTGACTTTTCCAAAGTCACTCAACTAACAGAGCAGCAGAGGCAAGGCTGAAACCAAATCTCCTTATTCCCCATCCAATTTCCTTTCAACCACACTCCATACATCTCAGTGTCTAATTTCCATGTCCAGGTTTTAGAAAGTCCAAGGATACAACACCGAGGCTTTGATTGTGGCTGAATGTCTCAGCTGTATTGTCAGATTCTCTGGGGGAATTATAAATCTCCCCAAGCGCTTAACCAATTACCATTTTTTTCCCCTTCAATTTCAAAAGGCATAGTCTTTAGAGAAAACACTTGCACTAAATTACTCAGGTCATTTATATGGAATGACAACTTCTCTCCCAGTCAATTCAGTCTACTTTCCAAATCATCGTCCTTTTAGAGGATGACAATTCTTGTATTCCTTCTAACAAGGTATCTTACTCAAGGTTTTTGTTTTCCCCCTTGACCCTTTATTATCACTTCAGCTTTGTTGTGTGTTTCTTTCCTACTCTCAAATCTAAACAGATGTTTCTATAAAAAATATTTTTAAAGAAGCCATTTTCATTGGCTCTTTAGATCCCCCATGTAGATTTATATTTTATTCTGCCATGAAGAGAAAGGCTGTCTACCTGATGGCAATTCGTGTAGATTTCTTTTTGAAAATGAGAGTTCATCTTCTGAAGATTGCCACTGATCTGTAGACTTCATTTCAGAAGTATTTGGTTTGAGGAACAGATAATGAGAAAATTAAACAGATGATAGATGGACAGAGATAAATCTATGATGTTGACTATATAATCTGCTCCCATTTGTTTTTTAATTTTAAAACATTGGCCCTTTGTAAACGTTTGACATGTTCATTTTCATTCTAAATGCACTTGTCGACACACGCACACAGACACACACATACATTCCTACAATTTATCTTCCCTTCCAAAACAGGCAAATTATCTGAAATTCATTGTTCTCTAAAAAACAATCACTTAGAAGTTTTTATTATCATTACTTAATCCTGTCTACATTCATGTCTCTAATAATTCCTATTTTTAGAAATATATTCTAAGGAATCCTCGTGGATATACAAGATTTTCTAGAATATCTATCACAATATTGTTTGTGTTAGCAAACTCTTGAAAAATAAATGTCTAACAATAGAGGACTGAATAAATACATTATGGTATCTTTTATGTAATGGAGTATTATACAGATATTTAAAATCTTGTGATAGAAGGCTGAAAAGATATCCTTGATTATTTTTAAACGAAATAAAGTGAGATTACAGAACAGCAGGAATATCATGATGTCATTTTGGTGAAAGAATATATAGATGGACAAAAGACTTACAGAGGATGCATTAATATGGTGTAAAGTTTTGAAGATTTATCGACACTCTGGGTCAGTCATGAAACCCTGCAAAGAGAGCTAGTCTGATGAAGAGAAGATTACAAACTATATGAAATTTGAGTTTTTAGAGTTTATTCCTCAGTATTCTCGCCTCCTTCTCTTTTTCCTCTTTTCTTCTTCATCTTAAAACTCCACAAATTTAGGGTTTTTTTTTCTTTATCTCAAAGTCATTGATTTTTGCCAAA